GCATGATCGATCAAACTAGAGCCCGACGGAGTTTTAATTGTATCGGACGGTGTTTGCTTTAGCGCGAACGATCGAAAGTTCCGACGCAAAGAGCTTGCCTCGCTGAGCTCCTTTGCTGATTAATAATAATAGTAATTAATACCGAGTTGGGTAATTATTGGATCTCCTCGCAGAGCAGGAAACTTTATTCCGAATCTATCGGTGGACAATGAACCGTAATCGCGAGAGGAGCTCGCCCGAACGGCTTCTCCCCGTTCGATCTCTTCTTTTCGCTCTCTATTATTCATGCTCGTCGGATCCTCTCGTTATAATAATACTCTACGAATGTTCTTCGAACGAAATTCATTTCGCCGGCAGATAGATCGTCGTGCAATCCGAGCTATTTTCGAGCCAGGCCAACAATGAAAGGGTTCCCGGGGCTAGATGTTCTGCGGCATCGTTCCTGCGGCAAGCGAATTACATTTATGAATTCTTTCCGGGGGACGTCGAGCTTCCCAGAAATTCGTTACACGCTCAGATACATTCCTTAACAAGCTCCCGGAATTTTTGTCGCTGGCACCAGAGAAGAAAACTCGATTTCCCCGGGTTCCAGCCCGGAGGATGAGAACCTTTCAGCGGAAAGCAACGAGTACATCTTTTTCTTCTGGATCCTTTGCGGCAATGCTTGCCGGGTAGTGCTCAAGCTACCGATGCCGCGCACAGATTTATCGCGAGATCAGAATTCAAAAGCGCACTTGCACGCTGAACTGTCTCGATTCTGTCTCTGGGAGACGCGAATCTAAATTGTTGTCTCGAACGTAAGAGACGTAAATATAAATAGCAAATCTAGCCTGCGGTGACGATATGAAATTTTTAAAATTATATTCTTTCGTAGAAATAAATTTAAACTGATTTACCGCCAAAAAATATGTTTACGAATATTATTAAAACGCGATATTCGCAGGTTTCGCAGTATATTATAACGTTATGGTGTTTAACGGGTTAAAGTTTTCCTTAGGGGACCAAAATTTGTCGACTTTGTAAGGGATAGTTTTGTAGATATCGACGAGAAAACAGCGAAAATGCAAGTTTCAATTTGCGGAACTCGTTTGTTTAAAAGTTATACGTATCCAAAGTTGACGCAAAGTTATACGTACGGGTGGAGCCGCTAGATGGCAGCCACAAGTAACCTAGAATTACTAGATTTTAGGTTACCAATATGGCGGCGCGCTAATATCTCAAGAACGTCAACTTTGCATACATATAACTTTTGAACCAACGAGTTCCGCACATCGAAACATACATTTTCGGCGTTCTCTCGTCAATATCAATGGGAACGCACCATAAAAAGTCGATAAATTTTGATCCCCCAAAGAAAACTATAGCCGTTTAACGTGTCAATAGATCATTATAAAAAATAAGACCATCGAAGCTGCGTCCAGTTTCATCAGATGCAAGTTCATAAAAGTAATAAATTCCACAGTTCGTGAATTGGAAAAACTTCTTGAATGAGCAAACCGAGAGTTCCGGCGCGCCGGTTGAAATCGAATTATTCGGAGAGCAGCGCGTCGCGAACAGCGTCCTTCGTTAACAATACCCGGTCAAGTCAGAGAGGCGCTGCACAAAGCGAGAAAGAGAGCCGGGAGAGGAGAGAACAAGCGCGTTCGAAAACTGCGGGAGAAGATCGAAACAGCCGGTGAGAAAAACGCGGAGAAAGACGCGGCTAAGGACGCGGAGGAAAATGGTGTTGCGGGAGGGCAGGGAGGAAAAGCATTCGAAAATTCGTCCGTGCCGCGGCAGAAGCTTCCTCCGGCGGCCCTTTTCCACCCCCGTCCTCCTTCCCGGCCGCGGTTGAGGCTTCCTTATTGTCCACGAGGAGAGAATGCTCGTGCATCGCGCGACGACTGCAGTTTCACGGAGTGGAATGCATTAGGTAGATGGAACGTGTAATTGGAGTCGCAGCGTGCACGTACGTAGGCCACCTGTCGTCTTCCTACAGTGGCTACAAAAAGTATTTCGGCCCGAAATTTTCGAGAAATTATCGGCATCCAAATTCTTTCGTCGCTTTGGTCATGAAAGACCATCGTACGAACTTACCGATTCAAACATCCGTAGCATCGCTGAAAGATTTTTCTCGTGGCTCGAAACCACCCGGAATATAAAATTTAAAGCCTCCTCTTTACAATAAACCCTCTGAAATCGGACTACGAATTTTTCTAGTCGTTTTCTCGAACTTTGAATCGAAGCTATACCACAGACCTTGCAGAGATATAAGAGCTACACTTCACTCAACCTGCTCCCCATATTTGACCCATAAAACGGCTGAAAAAAATCGTACATCACTTTCGTCGGGCTCGTTGTAAAGAAGAAGCTTCAATCTTCAAATCCAGGGTAGCTTCAATGACGAAAAAAATTGTTCAACGATACTACACGCGTTCCAATCCTCGCAGTATCTTCGAGGAAAATCGCGTCTTTTCGGTTTCCTACTCGCCATGCCTCGAGACAAAATCGCAGAAAGAAATAGTTAACGAGGTGCGGGAGTAGAGGCACCAAGCTTTAAAACGAGACCAAGTTCGTGATTCTACGATTTTTTTTCGCGAAGCTGCAACACTCGATTTTTTCGAAAATTCCGGGTCGAATACTTTCTGGAGCCACTGTACGGTCTTCCGTCCGCATCTCTCGCTCCTTTGTCCCGTTCCCGGTTTCTTTCTCTTTCCCTTTCTCCTTCTGTTGTTTCCTTCCTCTATCTCCATCCTCTCTCTCTCCACCCCCGTTCCAGCAACCCCTCCGTCGCGGCAGGCCGCGTTTTGCCATTAACCTGTTTAGCTCCCTGCCGGGTAAAAGGGTTGCTCTGCTCTTAGCTTCCGGCGCCGTTTGATGTGGTCCACTGGTTTTGGAACGAATTGTACAGCGGCTTTCCCTCCTTCGTTTCATTTTTCAATCGCTGGACCTCCAGGAATCTATCCGTCTATCTATCGGAATTTTGTCGTTTTCCCGCGGAATTGTTTAAACGAATTTTCCTTTGGAAGAATCGAGGGTTGCTCCATCAAGGCGTGGAATCTTTCGGTTTTAATGGAAAATGTTGAATTTTGCTTCGGCTCTTTTCACTGAAGAGACCTCGGACAAATTTTCTATCGGTGTGTAAGATGAATTTTAATGTAACAAGTTCCGAAATAAAAATAGAGTAAATTATTCCTAGACGATTGATCAAATTTCGAGCAGCGAGCTTTCCGAGGAGAATTAACGGTTGCTTCAGCTCTTTTCGCTGAAGCGGACTTGGACAATAACACTAATTCCGAAATAAAAATAGAGTAAATTATTGTTCATTCTTTCCCAGACGATTGATCAAATTTCGAGCAGCGAGCTTTCCGAGAAGAATTAAGAGTTGCCTCGGCTCGATTCGCTGAAGCGAGCTTGGACAATATTTCTATCGGAATTTCAAATGAATTTTAACGCTCTAATTCCGAGACAAAAATACAGTAAATTATTGTTCATTCTTTTCCAGACGATTAATCAAATTTCGAGCAGCGAGCTTTCCAAGAAGAATTAACGGTTGCTTCAGCTCTTTTCGCTGAAGCGAGCTTGAACAATGTATCTATCGGGATTTCAAATGAATTTTAACGCACTAATTCCGAGACAAAAAATACAGTAAATTATTGTTCATTCTTTCCCAGACGATTGATCAAATTTCGAGCAGCGAGCTTTCCGAGAAGAATTAAGAGTTGCTGAAGTGAGCTTGGACAATATTTCTATCGGGATTTCAAATGAATTTTAACGCACTAATTCCGAAATAAAAATAGACTATGTTATTGTTCATTCTTTCCCAGACGATTAATCAAATTTCGAGCAGCGAACTTTCCGAGAAGAATTAAGGTTTGCTCCGGTGGACAGCGTCCGCGTCACGTTCAGTCTCATTAATAACAGAACAAGTGCATAAACACTCGCAGTCTAACAACCACGCACACCGTAACCCCATTGAAACACGCTGGAATACTTCAAACCAAACGAAATTCTATGTTCCCATGATTAACGAGCCATCGGGTAAAGAAAGTTTCATTGTACAGACTGCGCCATGACAAGCGCCCTAAAAACTTTCTTCGTGAAATTGATACTGCACGAATCATGGAACCGGGATGGAAAAGAAAGGTGTGCCCGTCTTATATCGTCTCCTGGGAACTTGATCCGCTTGGAACTGCCGCTGGAATTTGTGCAGCATCGATGTCAGAAACTTATAAGAAACTACGTTCTTATAATAGTTTAGAATGCTTCTATTAGGACACTCTCTGTGTCGGCATGCGTGTATGAATGTGACCGTGATGCGCATGTTGTCTGACAAAAGTGTACACGCGCGGATGATTATCTCGAGAATGATTAACACGTGCCAAACACGAGCTTCGAACATTCTCGCAATATAAAAGTCATTTCTTGGATGAATTCGGAATTAGAGAGTTACTACTGAAAAGATATTGGTAATATTTAATATATAATATAAATATAATATATAACATATAATATAAGATATTGAAAATATTGGTTCTACTATTCCTTAGTATTTTTTAACATATTCTTTACGTGGCAAATCTTTATGTATTCTGAAAATTCTAGTGACATTCAGTTCGTTCGATATGTCGCAATCAAAATGAATTTCAAAACCGTATTAAAAATTAACGTCACTGTAATTCAAAATCCTCACATATTTTTCTTGAAGTACAGAGAAATTTCCTAGCAGAGATTCAATTGTCTATACTGCCGATTAAGTGAGATGCAAATGTCCTTTGTCTTTTATTTAAAAATGTTCTGGAGGAGCTTGGTTGTTTTATTTTCAAGGGGCGTCGAATGAATCGTGTACAGCTTTGTCAAATGGTTCGTATGCATGGAAAAGAGAGCAGAGAGAGAAAGAAAGAGAGTGAGAGAGTGAGAGTGACAGAGAGAGAGAGAGAGAGAGAGAGAAAGAGAGAGAAGAGAGTTACGTGTTAGAAGAACAAAGCCACGTTAAGCTGGTTGCGATTGGTGTGTTGCAGACACGAGGTGCCTGTCACCTCGGAGCCGATCACGGTGATACACATGGACGAGGACGTCGTCGTGGTCAACAAGCCCGCCTCCATCCCTGTAAGTGGTGTACTGCCAGGACTGTACTGCCAAAACGCTTCTTGTCGCATCGTCTCCGCTTCCCAACGCGACGACGATTGTCCGAGCGCCGATTATTTTTGCACCCGAGGACACCCTTGCACGCGCAGAACGGCCCGCGACTTCGTTTCACTATCGATTACCGATCGCACGTCGCCACCAATATTTTATCCGCATTTCGAATCAAGGTCCCCCGATCGACTTCGCTCGATTCATCTTCGATTTACTTCGCTCTCTATCCGTCATTTTGTTCCGCGAACGGTTTTCGACCGAGAACAAAATTCTCTTTATTCATTTCCCTGTGAATTTCCCATTTCGTTTCATGATCGAATTCTTTTCTAATTTCGTTCACTTTCCTTCGTGATTTTCTTTTTCATTTTTGGCGTCGGTACTTGTTGTCGGCCTAATTTGTATGGAATTGAACACAATTGCGAAGCGAAACGAAGTCGTGTTTCTAGTTCTCCTTTTGACACGAAACCTACCGCCGAATGGCCGGTTTTACATCTTCTTTTTATGTAACAATTTTTGTTAGAAAGTTCTTCTCATTTTCACAAAGCACTTTCAAGTCGCTCTTAACACACTATGTTTTGGGAGAGAGATATTAATACCTTTTTAAAAGATTTAATTTTTGTTAATTTCGTTATATATCTCAAATAATCCCTCTGCGAAATCCTACAAATCCTCGTTATATTGTTATCAAAATCTTATCGCCAAATTTTGCAAATATAAAATATTGTTTTAATTAAAAGAAATTGAATTTTTTAGAAAGGTATTAACACCTCTCCTGCACACATAGTATGTTAACGCTCGGTTAAGCTTCGTGTCAAGGGTCGAAAAGTCAATTTTTGGGGATATCAAAAAATATGAAATAAATTTTGTGGAAGGTAAGCGCGTTCGAACGATGAAAAAACGGTGTGCAACGGCGTCCGCGCAATCGTCGTCCAGAAATATATATCCTCCCACCCTTCCCCGCGCCTTCACATCGCACGGTAAGTCTCCGTTTCTTTGACTGGCAATTAACCGCACGGACACATTTCACTAATTTTTCCAATCGCGCGTACGCGGCCTTGCCGCGTCGGTTGCCGATTGCGCCGTTTACTCATCGCCGGCGACCTTCTGCCGTACGCGGCAGAAACGTTTATGAATAATTGCTCAGGCGGTTTCGCAATCTGCATATTTACACGGTGACTCGAAACCGTACACGGTTTTCGCATTATTCCCGTCATTCCCGCCGGTGACTCCTTTCTCTTCCCCGATGCAACCTTTCGTTCGCCGATTAACGCACACGAGCCGTCGCTGTTTTTTAATTAACCGCGCACGGTCGCGGAGTTTCTTTTCTTGCTGATCATTCTTGCCTATTAAAGAACACCTCCTGGTTCTGCCTCGGTATTATCTTTGCGTAAGAACGTGACGGGAGTTCGGTTTAAAAGGAATAATGAACGGTTAGACACGGTGAGAGCTCCCACGATTCTATGCACAATTTCGAGATATTTCTTTTTCTGGAAGCGAAGTAAACGGTGGATCAATTAACAGAATTACTTGTAACTTCAGTTGTTGGCTGAACTCATTGTTTTAAAAATATGATTATTGTTATTATTAAATTGACCCTTAACGATCCAATGTCGCCATTCACGCGGGCCAAAGTCAATAAAACCGTGAAACCTGGCAGCAAACATTGGAAGAATAGACACGATAATTCCGATGAAAATATGCAGTGGCCCGCAAAAGTGTTTGTACATCTTTTGAAACGCGTAATAACTTTTTTAAAACTCACCTAAACGACTCGAATTTTTTTCTAGACGATAGACAGACTAGTCTACTAGACGATGGTTAAAATGTCTTTCTTTTTTTTAATTCTGTTATTACTTGGGATGACAAAAATAAATAAAGAAACTCTCGTTTCTTAACTTTTTTACCTAAGCCAAAAATTAAAAAAATGCCTTTCGTAGATCTCTGCTAAAAATATGATCGAAATAGACATTAAAGGCGTTGAGAGATTTAAAAGACTGCAGATTCCTCCTAGTTTTTGGTCAAACTCGTGATAAAACTGCGATGTTTGCCATCTTTAATTTGTTGTAACTCATAACAACGTAAACCGAGATCTACGAGAGGCATTTTTTTAATTTCCATAGGCTCGGATAAGAAAGTTAAAAACGAGTTTTTGACTGTTTTTTGTCATTTCAAGCGATAGCAAAGTTTTAAAACAGTCTAGTAGACTAATCCCGTTCTCATGAAAAAAAATTTCAAGTCACTTGGTCCAGTCTTAAAAAGGTTATTGCGTTTTGAAAGATGTACGAATACTTTTCTGGATTGCTGTATATGAATAAATTTTTATAAAATAAACATCTTTCTCTAGATTCGATGTAAAAATTTTTAGCGCACAATTTCTCCACGCATGAAACATGACTTGTACTCGGCGGTATGTAAACTCGAAATACATCCGCTCCGCCAAGTGTTAAATTTCTGTCGATTGTGTTTATTGTAAAACGAAGTCAGTCGTAATTCGCACACACCGGTTCTATCGTTCGTTCGCGACTTAATATTCAAGGCGACGCCGCTTATTAACTGGCATAACCGACCAGTATCTCCTGCTGCCACTTTATCCATTGAACATTAATTCCCAGGCGAACAGCAGCACCGATAGACAATAGCGCGATTCGTCTTCGTCGCACGGCAAGTCGCCGTCTAGTCCGCGTGCGAGCGTAACGGCGGGGGCCCTGGAAAAGGGATTAATTATTTTTTAATAACACGAAACGCACTCGCCCGGCTTTTCCATGGTTCGACGGGACCGCTGGGGCTCGGTTTTTGTTCCGCGTTCTTCGTTTAATTCACGATTCCCGGGCGCGTCTACAGAGCCGACCGCCAAAGAGAAACTGCCGCGAAACATTGTGCGACGCTTAATTACCATTCAGCCGTTTCGGTTAATCGCGGCAAAAACATTTTCGCGACTGCGCAACGATCATTTAATTGCCGACCACACGGGAGAGGGGAACAATGGGCCGGGTCCTATTTCCCGACCGTTTTTTGCGGCCGACTGCGAAACGCCAAGAACCCGAACTTTATGCTCGCGGTTCGACGGCTTCTTTTTTGCGTACGCCGGCGGCGAGACTGTGGCTCGAGGCGAACTGGAAATCTCTCGTTTCTCTTTAACGTTTGCACAAATTATGCACGGAATCGTGCTGTGTGTCGCAAAACGTTTCGTTTCAACCGGCTGTGGAATAACTGATCAGATCGCGTGTAAACAGTTCGTCAAATTTTCGAAGGGTCAAAGGGGAACCGTGTTTGCCGTGCCAACGTTTTCGTTCGGTTTCGGATTAGGTAAAAAAGAAAAAAAGAAAAAAAACAGAGGTTTGCTCGGACGATGTATCGTTCGCTCGATTTTAGCCGAATTTTGTCCAATGGAATCGATCGAAACGGTTTTAAGCGCTGGCTAAAATGACGGCCGGATCGACGCGTTTATTCCGCGATTAATTAACTGAAATTCATCGAGTGTCGTGGTTCTTTGAAACGATATTCTGTAAGCAAAGCTTCGCACGAATTTTGATTGCGCGCGAAGTGAAATTCGTAAATCGAGATGGTCGATTTACGATCGTTTCCCTCTTATCTTGCTGCGAATACGTCCACTATAATGATCATAATCCGCCGCGTTGTCGTTCCGGCCTCGAAAATCGTTCAGCATTTCCTTCTCGGCCCTTTTTCGCCGGCTTACTTTGCCAGCCTCATAGAATTATATCCGCGTTCGGTTTAATAACAGCGCTTACTCTCTGAAGCTGATCCTCGCCCGCGACATCGTCCCCGGTATTTCATTTTCCCTCATTTATTTACTAATTAATTTATGCTCCTTTTTCCGACCGCTTTTTGCGTCTACTCCGGGCAGAGTTAACGCGCGCTCGCCCCGCGTCCTCGTTCCCCCGTTCTTTAATCTCTTTCCGTTATAAATATTTCGCTCCATTGTCTCCGCCAAAGACCGCGTTGCTGTTCCCATTATTACTGTCATTGTCATCGCGCCGCCGGAACGTCATTTAAGCCCGCGGTTTTCTTCCTAGGAAAAATCCCAGCGCGATTTCCCGGCTATTATCCCCGGAAACTCGGGATGAAATGTAATTGCATGAAATCTAATAACACTGCTGTACATTCTTTTCTGCGCTCCGAAGTGCACGAAGGTCGACGGATGCGATTACGCCTGTCAACAGGCTGTAGAACTCGTCGGAATTTTTCGAGCTCGAACGAGCCAAACTTCGAGTCACGATTTAACAGCGGAACTACCCAACGGTTGAGACGAAGCTGTTTCTACCAGAGCCAGTCAGAATGGTTGATTCGTAAAAAATGCGTAATAGTGGAATATTCTTATATATTTATTGATTTATTATTCTTTCTTACAAAAGGAATTCCGTGTTATGTAAATATAGATTATAGGATACTTTTCCATTGTGAGAAGTACCGGTCAAAATGACTGGCATTGGTATAACTAGCCGTGATGCAAAATTATTTTGATTCTGAATAAGTGAAACCAGAATCGAATTCGTTATTTTATCATGCCTGTAATTGTTGCTGCAAAAGTCATCGCATCATTGCGGGAAGAAAATGTGACACGAAGTAAGAATTTTAAAGTGAAATTGTAAAATCGGTCATTTTGATTGGTGCGGTAGTTCCTAGTATAGTATTTGCGCTCGGATTGTGCACAAAAATAGATAATTTGGGAAGAGGGGATGCGTGATCGAATAATTTCGAGCCTAGCACCTCGTTTTCGTAGTCGTTGAAAATCGGTAACTACAAAAACGAGCCGCGAAGCTCGAATAATCGTATCTCCTCTTCCCAAATTGTCCATTTCTGTGCGCAATCTGAGCGCTAATTAGGGAGAATTTACTGTACTAAGAAGTCTGGTAATTCCTCTTCGCCATTGATCCTCGACTGAAATTGTTCATCGACTCGCGATTTCACTCTGCCATCGAATTGATTTCCACCATCAACCACCATCGACCATATAATTCAACAATTCTCTGCGGGCTTTCACGATCCACCTGCCCACTTCATACCGCGATCACTTCGATCGTTGGCCGGAATCCGCGAAAACAGGAATTCCCATAAAAAAATCCGATATTCGCGCTAAAACTACGCGCGCGTCCGAGCCGCGCGGTATCTTCCGCGGCGTATTAAAATCACTCGCGGGGAAGCAGGAGCTTTAATGCGAGGCTCGGCGGAATAAATAATATCCCGGTAAAACCGAAAGCCCTCTGTAACACCGACGCGGCGATCTTGTTTGCCGCAGGCTCCTTTCGATGATCGATCTAGGCGGACTCGGAACGAGACGCGTATCGAGCAACAGAGCTGCCGGGCTCGGAACGGGTCGCATTCGCCTTAAAAAATTAAGTCCGGCCGGAAAGCCTCTTAGCGGCGCAATAAAAAATAGTTTGACCTGGAAGACGAGTGGTGCGGCCGTGGAGAGATATGTCCGGTTGTCACTGATTAGGTCAAGCACGCACGAAGAGAGGCAAAGAGAGATGGGGTGAGATTGGAGGCGTTCGGAACGAGCCGGAAGGGACGCGGACAGGATTATCCCGGGAATCGAGTGTGCTCTCGGTGTCGGCCGGCTGTCAACGGGTCTTTACGGGCCGCTACTTCCTGTTTATTATCCCGTTTATTCGCCATTCACGCCTTAAATAGTCCCCGGCACCGACAGGCCATCGACGCCCGAGGACCTTCGAGATGTTCGAACAAGTCCTCCGGCTCGCTTTATTGCGAACCCGCGTCGCCTACCCGTGGATCTCCGCGATCTCCACGATTTCCACGATCCTGAAGCCTGCCCGGAGTACTCATAACGCGTGACGAGGGTTCTACACCCTTTTTATGGGCCAATTGTGCCCGCGATGGACGTGCTCGCCCTTCGAGCCAAGCCGCGCTCCGGTTACCTAAAGCGTTTGATTCGCCAGGCGGTTCTGCAACCAGGAAGATTAGATTCTGCGTTAATCGCTGTGGGGGCTGTCAGCCTTCTAGATTCTCCGATTTATCGTTGAGTTGCTCTACTGTCTCAGAAAACGATTTCGGACTTTTCGTTGACTCGCGTTTCTTGCGGAGTTTAGGTAAAGTTCTCGAAACTCGGCAAGTAGTACAAGTCGACGGAAACGTGTACGTTGAAAATTTGTCGGTGAAGAAGTAGCATAACTCACGGGCAAGTCGGGCGCTAGGGAACTACCCTCGTCTGATCATTGACTGACTTTCTCTACTTAACACTTTCTCCTTCGGAAGAGCCTTTGTATTCCGATGTCGCCGATACGGCGACACTGTATTGTTAATACTCAAAGGTAAGCGTGTCAAATACGGGAAATCTTTGTTTGTATCTATGTAAATGATCCCGGTAGATAATTAATTTATTTGTTTATTTATTATTCGTTTATTCGCGGGAAAACCCTTTAGTAAAAAAAAACGGAGACGCGGTAAGGAAGAACAAAAGAAAGTATTATCTATTGTTATTATAATTATAATATATATAATATTATAATATGCTAAAAAGGGCAATATTATAATATAATATAATAATATAAAAAATCTTTCCTTAAAAATATAAATTACTGATGCATAATATTATCGCACAATAACTATACATATTACATAATGCGAAGATTTTTAATTAAATGAAACATCAATGCTTCAAAGTTTAACATACTACGATAATATTTATAATAATATAATATAATATACCATATTATTATCGCATAATATTATCGCACAATAACTACACATATTACATAAAGCGAAGATTTTTAATTAAATGAAACTAAAAACCTTCAAAGTTTAACGTACTACGATAATATTTGTATACCTTAAATTAAAATCTCCATCGATCCTCGCACAATTTCCCGCGATGCTTTGCATAACAAAAGAAAAGAAAAAAACCATCCTCAACAGGCCGGAAGAACTTCGCATCGCCATTAAAATCAATTCTTCCTCCCGCGTCCAGCAAATTCCCGAGAAAAAAAAATCCAAACTCCAATCCTCCTAATCGCGGAACGATCGACCGAAAACGTGGCCAGGTCTTTCTATTTCTGCGGATCGAGTAGAAAATAATTCGCCGGTTGTATCGTCGTCGGGCGACTCCAAACACCGCGTTAAATCTCCTGTCGCAGTGGCCGGCCGTGCAAACAATTATCGAAAGCCCATTCAGCGGCTGGTAGGAAGCTGCTCCTCGGCCCTCGCCCCTCTTCGGGGCGGATAGCGCGGGCGAGGATCGGCGGATCGGATCGTCGCGTATTTTTCGGGGCTTGACTGTTCCGGATCAGCCGGCCGCTGTGTCCACAGAACACAGCTTGGCGCGCAAACATTCGGCCCTGCAAACGGCTGCGGCCTGGTGCGCTCCGCTCGCAATCGTTTCCTCCTTTGTCGGCCGCGAACCGATCGCCATAGAAAGCCTGTTTTTATTTCCCCGGGTGCGGGGGCGGCGCGCGAATGCCAACCGAGAGAAATGGGTCGGGATCGCGTGTAACGACCGTGTTTGCACGTGACGCCCCGACACCTATATACACGTGTCCTGCTCGTCACGCGGTTTCCCGAGCCCCGCTAATATTCTAATGGCCCGATGGAATTGCCCGGCCCCGGATGCCCGTTTCCACGAGCATCCCAGAAAACGAGCCCGCCCCCGCGCCTTTTAATTTAAAAAGCCGCCCGGCGAACGGTGGATCGGTCGATCGCTCGCTCGCTCGCTCGGTCGCTTTGCCCGCCCGAACCTTTTATCGCGCCAGAACCTTTAAAGCGAGCCGCTTTTAACAACATCGATCTGGCCTCCTGCTACGCCGATATTTGCTTCGTTTTCTTCGGGCTCGGCGACGGCATTTCCGAAGAGGTTACAACTTTTAACCTTTCCACAGCGTTTTTGATACGTAGATACGCGGTGCGACGTTTAAATAAAATAAAAAATACGGTGTAATATCTCGCGAGGCATTGAAGTTATCCAAAGAATGTTCTTGCAAAAGTTGTTCGATTCGAAGCGGCAGATTATGTGGATTTAATAGCTTTTCCGTGGGTCAGGTTAATTGTTTTAGATGGAACGGTATGTTTCTTTGTTTATAATCTGCTAGCACTTTTTGACACATTAGCATTATTTGTTATTATTGCGAGCGCCAGCGTTAATAATTAGTGAAATCTCTGCCACCATCGCAGGGTGTCGCGAAAATGTTTCGCAAACCGGAAATGGGAGGTCATTTGAAGTAACTTTTTCCTTAGCGAAAATGCAATCCGCGGCTTCGTTTACGAGTTATTAACGAAAAACGGTGACCAATGAGAGGCGAGGCCAGCTGGCGCGAGTCAATGAGCGGAACCGAGCTTCGTAGCTGGGCCAGCCGAGCTCGCCTCTTATTGGTCACCGTTTTTCGTTAATAGCTCGTAAACGAAGCCGCGNCAGCAACCTTTTCCTTTGCGAAAATGCGATCCGCGGCTTCGTTTACGAGTTATTAGCGAAAAACGGTGGCCAATGAGAGACGAGTTTGGCTGGCGCGCGGCCTACGAGCGCCAACTGATCTCGCGTCTCATTGGTCACCGTTTTTCGTTAATAGCTCGTAAACGAAGCCGCGGATTGCATTCTTGCTGAGGAGAAAGTTGCTTCGAATAACCTCAGGACCCCTCCCCCTATTTCCGGAATCACATTTTTGGGACACCCTGTATACCCACGCAGAAACTATTAAAACCACGCAATCTGCCTCCACGAATAAGACAACTTTTGTAAGAACATTTCTTTAATAACTCTACTACCTCGCAAGATATTTCTCTACTTAGTTGCCAGCTGAACCGTGACGTCATCGACGTTCGGATCACGTGACAAGCTTCTACCGTCAGAGACGCGGGAAATGGATCTGAAAAGCCGAATTAACCCGAAGTAATCCGATCGTCGGTGACGTCACGATTATTTAGCCGCCACAGTATTTCACTGTTCTCGCTCGAACGTCACACCCGGTATATCACCGAGACCGCGTGTCAGGCTTCCAGAGCTTCCTTATTTGCCGTCTTAGGAAGTCGGATTTATCAACACCGATCCCAGTCCCATACCAAGGCCCTTATTCACAGCGAAAATAACGAGGGATCGAACTCGAGGGATGGAAACGGCGCCATCTTATCCACTAATCCTCCAGTACACCGTCTCGATTCCCGAATCTCCTCATTTTCGTTGCCAACCATTTTGATTTATAATCGTTATTAAATAGAATCGCTTCTGGCATTGCAGGTGCACCCATGCGGACGGTACCGGCACAACACGGTGGTCTTCATCCTGGCGAAAGAGTACAACTTGAAGAACCTGAGGACGATCCACAGGCTGGACAGACTGACCAGCGGCATTCTCCTTTTCGGTAGGACGCCGAAGAAGGCGAGACAGATGGAGCAGCAAATAAGAAATCGACAGGTATGTGTCTCAACCGCTGTGCTCCTCTATGGAAACCCGTTCGTTCTCGATTTACGCAACGCGCGTGCAGCACGTCTGGCGACTCCGCGGTTTTCCTTTCGCACAAAATTTGCGCGACGGATCCGTGACAAAATGATTCACCGCTCGATACTGCGTTCCACAGGTGCACAAGCAGTACGTGTGTCGAGTGGAGGGCGAGTTCCCGGAGGAGGAGGTGGTGTGCTCGGAGCCGATCGAGGTGGTGTCCTACAAGATCGGCGTGTGCAAGGTCTCGGAGAAGGGGAAGGACTGCATCACGCGTTTCAAGCGTCTCAGCTACAACGGCAAGTCGTCGGTGGTGTTGTGCAAGCCTCAGACAGGTCGGATGCACCAGATCCGGGTGCACCTGCAGTACCTGGGTTATCCGGTGGTGAATGACCCGCTGTACAACCACGTGGTGTTCGGCCCCCAGAAGGGCAAGGGCGGGAACATCGAGAAGACGGACGAGGAGCTGGTTCGGGACCTGATCAGCATCCACAACGCGGAGAACTGGCTGGGGATGGACGGGGACTCGGAGATGAGCCTGTTCAAGCCGAAGCTGGACATGGAGGACCGTGTCTTGGGCAACGAGAAGGACGGCTCGCCGTCCTCCACGCCCGGGCTGGGCGAAGAGGAGCAGCAACAGCAGCAGGAACCCTCGCTGAAGGTGACGGTCGGCACGCAGACCGGGTCCGAGCCTCCGGACTCTAGTTTCGCCAACGACAAGATGACCGTGGACCCGCACTGCTACGAGTGCAAAGTGAAGTACAGGGACCCGAAGCCCTCCGATCTGGTTATGTATCTCCACGCGTGGCGCTACTGCGGGCCCGGCTGGGAGTACGAGACCCCGTTGCCAGCGTGGGCAGCCAGCGACTGGGCCGAGGAGGACCGATAGTTACCACGGACTCGCCTAAGGGAACCACCACCTTCGAGCGAACCAGCTGTTGTCATCACCCTTCGTACCCCTTTTTGATATCCTTACCCCGTGCCTTCCATCCGCCAGCGAGCGATCTCGACCATCGTACATGTACCCACAACCCCTGCGACCGGGTCGCTGGACTCGCGAATCTCACCTGGACGCTGGACTGCGACGAGGCTCGCTATCACCTATTATTATCCTAATCAGATGTCGTTCACATAGATCATTTGTACCCACTGCGTCGAATTTCGATGTGTAATTACGAATCTGTAGGCGTTTGTCCGTCAGCCGTCGCGCGATATTTTTGTTTTAATTATCGGCGAATCTTTAAACCGAACCCATAATCGGTCGCGTGATGTTTGGCCCTTCTTCGTTGCAGCAGACAACTAAATTTTTCATTAAAAAGAAACTGTCTTCCAGATGGCACGCGACTGGTCAAGGGTTGCGAATTCGAAAGACCACTTTTAAGCACTTCCTCGAGTATTTGTTTTCAATTGTTTTTTATTTCTTTCTTGTTTTTGGAAAATTAAAGCTTCGCGGTAAATGTTAACTCGAACGGAGGATTTTAGAACGATTGTACGACATCTAATTAGGACAGACTTGTCAGGCTGGTGAAACAGCGTTATGCGACGAGATCGGACCATCGATTGCGATGGTACGATCTTCTGTGGAGGCGGGTCAACCCAGAAGTCACTGCCATCGAGAGAAGATTGATGTTACTGTCCCGATCGGATAACCGTGACGTTTTAGTTTCTTGATTTATGACGGGCGCGCCAGGGGGTCCTGAGGATTTCCCGATGATCCTGGAATTGGGTTCTAATCTGCGAATCCTCCGCTGCTCCGCGGGATCTATTTCCTGGTCCATCGAGTTCGCGTTGATTTTTTTTAACTCTTTCGCATCTCGAAAGCGAATTTTAACCCATTCCATTCTTCCGGTGTCACGGATATTATCCATGGATGCGAAAGGGTCGACGAACAGATTGTTTTGTTGCAGTATTTTTAGCCTCCTGTTTTCGATCGTAAAGATCGACGGAAACTTCTTCGAATAAAATTGACAAACGTTTTAATCATACAAAGCTTAATCTACTAGAACAATTCTTCCGATCTTTTAACCAACCTAATAATTCCCTAGAGTTTTATGTACCGAACCAGTCGGCGAAATTGTGCCAGACTTTAGAAATGTCGAATGGACGGAGACGTGTCCAGCACAGAGAAAAGTTGTTGAATATTTGCGCAGGTTGCACACAAAGCTTGCAGACTGACCCGTCGGGAGGAAAGATCGCGTCTTTCTCGGTCTGTCCTTGAAGGACCTCAATCGCGACCAGAGAACGATTCGAAAGGAGAATCGTCAATGACCGGCGTTCAGCGATGATCCTCGAGAGCCGCGCAGGCAAAGGGGGCTGATGTAGGAAACTGCAATAGAATCGCGTCTATTTTTATGGCTGATTATATATACATATATATAACAATTCTATATATATATATGTATGTATCTATATACATATACATGATACTAAATAGTGGCGCAGGTCCAGCGACATGGGTCTCCGAAAAAAAAACAAATGATTGCGAGCGTGATCTTGCCAGAGGATAGCCAACCAGATCATGCCAAAGAACGCGAGCATCCGGCGAGAGAGAGAGAGAGAGAGAGAGAAAGCGTGAGAGAGAATGAGCGAGAGCGAAAGGGAGAGAAAGAGAGAGAGAGAGAGAGAGAGCTTCATTTCAATCATATCGTGTACCTTGTTACAACGCGTCCGATCGAGGACTTGCGACAAGTACAATCGAACCATGTGAAATAACGAAATAAACGTCGTACATTATTTTGCTACGAGTCACGCGCGTCTGCTCTAGCAGGGCTACACGGAGTTAGGGATCCGCGAGAGGCGACGGGAATCCGATCTACTACAGGCTCGCCAAGGTCACCAGAATCATCCCCATCTTGTGGATTAATCGTTCGACACAGTGGGAACCGACAAGATCATTTTGTTCCGATCGAGATAACAGCGATTGGAATTCGAGGTCACCTGGGGGTTACAAAATTTCATGGTGGACCCTCCGACCCCCTGGTTCCCTAATTTAATTTGTCAATAGACTGCAGATCTTTGTGCAAGTTACTTTATAGAATTCAGACTAAAGAGAAAATGTTACTTTCGTGCAACAGAACGATTCGTTGCAACAAACGAATGCAGAAAAATCCGCAGTCTAATCTCTGTCTCCCGATCATTTGTGAATCCAGCGTGTCCCTCTCTGACAAGTGTTTCCTTAATTTTAATAAAGAAATTTGCAGTTTTATACGCGACTCGGTCAGATAGGTAACGAATAAGCGAACATAGCAATCGAAGAGCTACAACCGTGCCGGCGTGAAGGGAACAAAAACTATCCTTTTATAAGAGAGAGCTTTGTATACCTATTCAACGAACCTTTTAACGAGAATGCAAATAAAACGATTCAGTGAACATTGCCGGATGATATAAGTCCCTCGACGCCACTCGCGGTCCTTCGAGAGCGAGACGCGACCAGAGGCAGCAGCAGATGGACAGAGATTTTTAGGTAGATAGAGGTAGACTCGAAAGATGAGGGAGATAACGTAACAATGGACCTATCATAAAAGACAGTGTGTGCGCTTACTAACTCACCCGGGATAATCTTGTCGAGAGTTATTCCGAATGTAATGGCTAGCTTAATTTTATTTAAGTAATGTAACTTGACATTGACAAAAAACTGCGAGTGCGAAAGGGAGAGAGAGAGAGAGAGAGAGAGTGAAAGAGAGAGAAAGCGAGAGAGACAGAGAGCGAGAGAAAACAAAGATATATATATACGATATAAACAGAGAAAAAAAATGGAAAAAATATAGAAAAGGAACGATATCCTTTAAAAAGACAGTCCCGATTAGAGCGACTACTGGAGAACGCGAGAGCGAGAGAATTCGTCGGTCTGTAAATCGAGCGAGCGCTTTTGTATGTATATACATATATATATTTGTATTGTATACGATATATATATATTGTATACGCACATTGTACCGTATCCGAGCGACATTATTATCTGTACCGTAGTCAGCGGAACGTTAGAGCTAGAGAATTTTTTCTTGTATAATGGACGAATAAACGCAAAGTATCGTTCGGTACTTACCTTGCCCCATATTTTTACTTCCTTATCGTTCATTCTTGTGACCGCGACAACGTTAATAAAGTAAAGACAGGACAAGACACAATACGAATAATTTTGTCACGAAACTACTTCCTATAATATTTGAAAGAACATTCAACCAGTTGCTTCAGAAGCTAAACATCGGTAGATCTCCACTGTGTGTATTTTCCACTCTAATAAAAAAAAGGGTGGGGATGCCTCAAGTGGCGGTGGGGTCAAAACTGAACTAGTCTATATTGAACTAGACGACGCGAAGGGATCAAATTACCCTAAAAAGAGAAAGTGAAAGTTTTCTATATTTTATTCACCGAACCGCCGAGACTTAATCAGGGTCCGGCGGAATTACATAGGAAATGTGACTACACACCGCGCGCGGATTCGCTTATGTACACTGAAAATAAATACAAAATCTTACAACAGGTCTCGCACAGTCCGCACTTTCTTCCTTCCGCTGGTTTTACACCTAATAAACTGTGGAAAATTCGAGTTTATCTAGTCGCTACCTTTATATTCAATTAGCGGCGACGCCCTGTTTGCGCCCCTTCATCCGCGCCTCTATCTCCGGTCGGAAATGCCTGATCAGACCTTGCACCGGCCAGGCAGCACCATCGGCTAAGGCACAGATTGTGTGCAGCTCGATCTGCTTAGTCAACTCCCACAACATGTCTATCTCATGCTCCGCAGCTTTTCCTTCAACGAATCTGAAAATCATTTGAACGTTGTTGCACCTTGTAACGATTCGAAGCAAGACGTGAAACGGTACCTTTGAAGGATTTTGAACATCCAGCTGATACCCTCGCGGCACGGCGTGCACTGTCCGCAGGACTCGTGCTTGTAGAAGCTGAGAAGCCGCGTGATGGCCTTGATGATGTCCGTCTGCTTGTTCATCACGATCAAGGCTGCTGTACCGAACGAGCTCTGAGCTCTCACGAGGTCGTCAAAGTCCAATAATACTGTGTCGCAGACACTGCAACATTGTTTCGATGATTTAGGGTTCTAGGGACTTCTGAGTCTGCAAGGTCAGTACCTTTTGGGAATAACTGGAGTGGACGACCCGCCGGGAATTACTCCTAAAAGATTGTCCCATCCGCCGATCACTCCGCCAGCGTGCCTCTCGAGCAGCTCTTTCAAAGGAATGGACATTTCTTCTTCTACGGTACACGGGTTGTTCACGTGGCCGGAAATGTTGAATAATTTTGTACCGTGGTTACGTACTCGGCCGAATGACGCGAACCAAGCTCCACCTCGTCGACAAATGGTCTATACAAAGAAATATTAATTTTAGAAACAAAAGTTCCTATGCGTAACTGTTGCACAACAATGCTGAATACTCACAGGAGCCACAGCAACCGTCTCGACGTTAGTGACGGTTGTAGGACACCCGAACAAGCCAACGTCGGCTGGGAAAGGTGGCTTTAGTCTGGGCTTTCCCTGTTTTCCCTCGATAGACTCTATGAGAGCTGTTTCCTCTCCACAGATATAAGCTCCAGCTCCTCGCTGGACATAAATATCAAAGTTGTAGCCCGATCCACAGGAATCTTTCCCAATGAGACCAGCTTGATAGGCTTCTGCAATGGCCACTTGCATGTTAGACGCCTCATTATAGAATTCTCCACGGATGTATATATAGGCTGCACAAGCTCCCATCGCACGACCAGCTATCAGGCAACCCTCTACTAACTTATGTGGATCGTGGCGAAGGATCTCACGATCCTTGCAGGTCCCAGGCTCTCCTTCATCGCCGTTCACTACCAGATATTTTGGTCTTCCATCTGATGGTTTGTTCATGAAGGACCATTTCATACCGGATGGAAAACCAGCACCACCACGACCCCTCAATCCAGAGGTCTTGATCTCATTGATGATCCAGTCTGAACCCTTGTCCAAGATCTCCTTGGTTTTGTACCAATCACCTCTTTTCAATGCACCCTTCAACCTCCAATCGTGTCTACCATACAAGTTTGTGAATATACGGTCCTGGTCAGCCAGGGGACCACCTTTTTTCTACAAATAGAGCAAAATGGTGTCCAAGATTTATGTCAACACACTGTGTAACGGAATCGCACACAAAAACGAAAGAAGCCGTACCTTTCCCTCTGGCGCGGCATCGGCAAGCGTTCTCTGCTGCTGGTTGGTCAAAGCTGATCCAAGGAGACCTGAGACACAAACGAAATCTCTTTAATTACATAACCTTGTCGCAAGGCAGTTGCGAAGTATCGAAAATCCTACTGGGCACTGAGAAACAATGGAAAATCTTTATAACAGGTTGCTGATTGTTTCACTTAGTTCGAACAGCTTTCAGATTCTATAAAACAAAGCGGTAACGTCAAACTCACCCAATTGTCTCCTTGGGACCTGAAGACAACGCACTATGGCCCCAGCCATCTTGCCGTTTGCGACCTTCTTGAAGACGTTACCAGAGTAATTTGATTTGAAATGAAAGTAAATTCCCTATATGAATGTGTTATGTACGTCACTTAGAAATGTTCAGCATTTAATTTACAGAGTGACTATTATTATAAACAATGATATAAGTTCACAATAAATTTTTACTATTAAAAATAATCAAACAAAGCGCCATCGGTGGGAAAACGCCCAATCCTGTCGACGAATTCTATTCACTAGATGGTGACATTCGTACGTGCTCAGATTTATTTCTATCGTATCATCTAGCAGATTAAATTTCAATTAAATCTACGACAAACTTGAGCGTTTTGCCACAACAAGTAGTGGCGCTATTTTGAGATTTTGACAGGTTTTTGTATGTGAGGCCGTCTGACGCGCATGATTGGAATTAAATCGGCGACAAACTTAGGCATTTTGCCGCTACGAGTATTGGCGTTATCTTTTCATTTTCGGAACAAATAATCCTTGCCGGATTTTGTACCATACCTTACAAGAAAACCAGCAAGAATCATTTGCGAATGGTTTTCATTATTTTGGAACGTCATCGTACAGCCACCTAACGGTGCGGAAACGGAATGATCCGCGATATTGAATACGTGTTCATCGCTGTTTTGTCGTCTGTTTCGCCAGGCCAAAGTATTGTGTCGACGTCGACGTGCGTTGAACGTGCCCGAATGCACATTCAGGCGTTGTACGATGCTCGGTGAGAACAAATTTCTCGTTACGTGATGGGGCAACTCGACAGCATCTCGATTTTCTAGCTGGTCACGATCGTTGGCTATCGGTGGACACCTGTCCGGACGACAGCGACCAAAAATAGAGAACGTACGCGGGTCGTGAGGCGTTCGTCTGACATCATGTCATCCAGAAGGAACAACTGTGGCCTGTTGGCCAGGGTAAACTTCCCTTTATACACCCTGCAAATGTTGACCAGCAGGCACATCCTTGTAGGTGGGGGTGGAGGTTCCTCCAAGACAGGGGTAGCCAATGGATTTGTAAGTATTGCCTCGAAGCTTACCTATCTCTAAGCAAGAATCATGTTCATCGATTAATATTATCTTCCATTATTATGCTGTAGGAAATATTTGAGTTGTCCCACAATGGCACACAATTTGTAGCTGAAGAAGTAACTAGACATGAAACAGGTCCTAGCGTCGTGATGAATTGCACAGCTTACAACAATGGCAAAAGAACCTGGATTGCAGCTGGCCAAGAGAGCCACTGCCAGCTATATAATGTCAATACCAAGGTGATCACTGTAGAGAATGGAGAAGTCATCAAAGATACCGATAATGCTAAGGAAGGGCTTATTCATAGGAAGAAAGCAGAAGGGAGCAATGCAAAGGAAAGGATAGAGGAGATTAAGGATAACTCTAATATTAAGAGCAAAAAGCTGCAGTTGATTGTTAAGCCCTCTGACAGTGTTCAGACTGATTTTAGGTATCTATTAGCACTTGTAACGCAAAGCACTTGTATTTTTTCTCAGGTAATTTTTGTGTTTTCTGTTAACAGCAAGGAAGAGCCCTTGCAAAGGATCGTCAGAATAAGCTTAAATGGAAAGTTCATGGCCACTGGCGGCACGGATGGTCACATCAGATTGTGGAAATTCCCACAGCTGCATACGCTACACGATCTAGACGCGCATACTAAAGAAATCGACGATATAGATTTCAGTCCGGACGGTACGTTAATCGCAAGCATCGCGAAAGACGGCAAAGCTTATCTGTGGAATGTATCCAGCGGCAACAAGGACAAGGAACTGACTTGGTCACCTCCGAATTTTCTGAAGTATATGTACAAAAGATGTCGGTTCCGAAAATTCGCGGAGGATAAGTCGAAGACACAGCTGTTCATACTTTCCAACGCAGTTACTGGAAAGAATATCAGTTTCCTGCAAATGTGGGACATTGATTCTGGCAGCATAGTTAAGGCAGTGCCTTACAAAGAGACGCTATCCGCACTGGCGGTGTCCGATGATGGGAAATTCGTCGCAGTTGGGACAATGTTCTCAGGCAGCGTGGACATTTACGTCGCTTTCAGTTTGAGAAGAGCTTTGCATGTTCCTGGAGCGCATAGCATGTTCGTGACCGGTTTGGAATTCTTACCAACGAAACTGGATGGCCCGGCAATCACTAGTAACACTGAAACTGCTGTCGTCAGCATTTCTGTTGACAACAAGATTTGCATACACAGCATACCGTTCAGACGTAAGGAAACAATTCATTCGTTCATCGCATGGCAAACAAAGAAAAAGATTCTAATCTTATCGATCTTATTTCAGACACACTGCCATTCTGGTTTGTCATCATTGTAATTATTCTGAGTATATGCTGCGCGTTCATGTTCTGCAGCTACGTCGGAATATGACCCAAAACTTATGTTCTCGACGCGATCACGAAGAGCAATACTTTCTCTAGGATTGTATGAGATCATGACTAAACATCGAAGTTTCTCACACGCCTATTCCGGCTCGTAAAACTTAATAAAAATCGGGAGGTGGACGGAAGTAGGTCTCGCGTAAACGCGTGTGCACGGTTCCAATGATGCACCGAATTAATTGCAATTTCCTATGGGGGCGTGGGTCCTACGGTTATTATTTAAACAACGTTGAATTTAACGCTACTGTGATAAACAGTTACAGTGCACCGTTCTGGCAAACATTATTGTACATAGACGTTATTTTATTGATTCCCCGCGTTTCCTAGATACACCGATTGTCTAGAGCTCAACGATTTCTTTCGTATTTAGAGACTTATCTTCGATAAAGACCAATTTACAAACACGCGTCCCTCGTACTTGAACAGTTCGCGTGGATTTATTTCGGCTACTGCATTTATTTAATTCACTCTGTACGATATTTCCATGTATAGTTAGCAAGACTAGTACACGGTGACACGTTTGTGTATATTCCTCGGCGTTCGACGCTATTTTTATTACATTATCCTTCTCCTCTCCTAGCCCGTGTCTCTTGCAAGTGGTCGTCGATTTTCGTTTTTTTTTCAAAAAGACAGATCAAGGTTAACTGGTCGCGTATAAATAGCACACACTCGCACGTTGCACAGCGTTCTATCGTTTCTTTTTTCGCGGGACGTGAACCAAGAATTTCCTATAAGAGGGAAGAATGCCATAGAGAAAATAGTTCATGTCAAGGGGGATATGATTCACCATGTCATGAATCAACGTTGTACGACGAGTTGTGTATAGGGACATAAATATGTACATTTTGTTAATGTAATAAACTCTAATGTATCAAAGATTACGAAAATCGTTTCTTTACCTACACGGTATGGAGCGTTACAAACGTTCGTATCTCCGGAACGCATTGAGATATTTTCACGAAACGAACTGCATTTTAAAGATTAAATTCCAGAGTTAATTATCCACTAATTTTCGAAATACAGGTGGTTACGAATGATATAAATTTTTTAGCTGCATTCCGCTATTTTTTCGAACACGAAGTTCTTTCTTAATTGTATATATTACTTCGAATCTTCTAAGCGAACAAAGATACAGTAATAGGACAAATCGCATCTTGAAGAGCAGGGTTGAAAGTTAATTGTCCACTAATTTCGGAAATACAACCGAGCAAAAACAGTACACATTTTTTAGGAGAACTCCGCTAAATTTAAGAACGTAAAATTCTTTCGTGATTCTACGTATTAATTCGAATCTTTTGAAAAAAAACCGGATGAAGATAAAATAATTACACATATTGCATATTCTGTCCACGCTAATTATCAGTCTGATAATCAGTCTCATGCTATTGAGTATTAATGGATACTAATATTCAAGATAAGATACGCGATTATTATCGTCCAAATAAAGTTTAGACGTGGCAAAAGTGATAAAAACATTGCTCGGAGAATTCACGGCAATCAGCAAGAGAAAATCGACCCGAAGAAAGTGCAAGGAATGCTCCCCGCCATTTCGATCAGTGAATCGGCTCTCGTGGCCGAAAAGGAATGTTGTCCGAAAACGAAAGGAGCCCTCGGGCCATGTAATACAACCAGGGACGAGTTTGGAATGGCATTCTACGATTCGCGTATTGGCGCCCGTCGATTGCTTTCAAGGCTGTTGGCAACGTATTCTCGATTCGAGTAACAAAACGTTCGATTCTGTCGCAGGATGCGGCAGTGCGGTCGATGAAAACTCTCCTAGCAATAATTTGCCGCTTAAAATGCTCGAATCAGCAACCAATAATTAACGTTTAATCTGATTTCAATTATATTTCAATATCTCTTACCTGTTTCTCCGATCTTACAGTTTCAGAACTTCTAGAATCACTGTTGCATGAAAATCTTCGTAATTAATTCGCTTTGTAACAAAACTATTTTGTAATAAAACGTAGGGGGAGGGACGTGATCAAGGGTCGCATGTTTTCGTAAAACGTTTATTCAGAAATACTTTAATGAATATTCTAAAAATCACGTTAACCTCTCGCGCGCCTCTTAACCGCTAAAAAACGTGTAACCAAGGGACAATCCGGCGTCGATCGGATCCTAGGAACGTTCGCAGACGATTCGAAGGACGACGATCGATTCCGAGCCGGGGAGATTCAGGGGGGCTGAGGGAACTCAGGGTGGGCAAGGTAATACGGTGATTATGTACAAGTCGAGTGTCCTCTCGGAGGACTCGCTCCTTCCTCCGAAGAAACGAATCCTTTCATTCGCGACCGGCGGTCGAAACGTTTCGCGATCGCTTCCTGTAAAATCCTGACGCGAAAAGGCACCCTCATTGCAATACCTAATTCATGAATCATCCACAACAGCCGCGCAAAATTCCCGTAAGAATCATTCGAGTACACTGAAATCGCAGCGCGTTGTAAACTAATTATTACAACGCGTTGTAAACTAATTATTACAGCGCGTTGTAAACTAATTATTACAGCGCGTTATTAACTAATTATTACGCCGCGTTGTTGATTAATTATTGCAGAGATTCCTGCGAGATTCAACAGGCCGAAAGAAACGGGGTAATTGTTCTTTCAGGGTTGATCATCGATTTCGAATAATTTTAAAGGGTTCGTTTACGAAATTTTCCGGGCGATTTCGCGCCAGTATTCGACTCGGGGGATGCCCTGATACCATCGGCAAGAGACATCGCGCGTCGCGAAACGTTTACCCCGCGTTTCTCTCCAATGGAAGATCCTGCTCGGTTTCTAGGATCGATTCCGCGTGATCCTCGATCGAACGCGGCCCTCGACCGACCGATCTTCGATCTGCGCCCGCTCATTTGTTCGCGGTGAACCCGTCACCGGTCGGGTCCAGCAGCCACGGGTAGTAGTTCGGGCACTCCATGCAGGTGAACAGACGGAGGGTTTCGCCAGGCAGCTCCCTGGTCGTCAAGGGACAAGCGTTTGGCAGGGAACAGTAGGGCTGTCCCTTCTCGTCGCAAGTCTCTTTCCAGTCCTGGAAGTCGCGGAGGGCTGACAACTCTGTGGGCGTCTGCATCCACTTGATGACCTGCAAGTAGAAAGAGGCGCCAATGGTCAGACAACATTCAAATTAAATCTCCGATATTGCAATGTATTATAATGTATAAATAGCTCTTAGGCGTTTTGCAGTCGATAAATATCAGATTAAGAATGATCTGTGTTGTAATACAAATCTAGAATGTATTGTAACACAGATCATTTTTAATTTGATATTTATCAGCTGCGAAATGCCTAAGAGTTATTTATAATTATTCTCTACAAAGACATAGTTCAGTGTCCAGGTATCGTTCAACAAACATTTGACAGATGAAGAATTGCAAAAGAAATGGTAACGTGGATGCTTCTGTGGTTCATTCATCGCGCGGCGAGAAAATAGAACAGCGAATCTGTTCGTAAATAGAGGAAACCGTAATGGATTACGAGCCGGTCGTGGGAGCTTGCAGACAAATCGAATTTGTCGGAGATACGGAGACAGAAACAGAGAGAGAGGGAGAGAGAGAGAGAGAGAGAGAGAGAGAGAGAGCGAAAGAGAGAATAAGCGGTTAGATTGAAAGCGGAAAATAAATTGTCGTGCAGCGAAATAAAACCACGATTCGGTGCTTGATGGATCAGGAACGAGAAACGCGGCGATGCCGCGGGATTGAGCGACGGGGATTAATTGAAATGAGCCGAGGCGGTCGTAATAACAGTTCCAGCGACGCGGTATCTCGATCGGAAAACGATTTCGCGAGCATCTCGCGATCTAGGTCTCTATCAAATTACAAATTCCAGAAGAAACGAACTCGACGCTTCTTTGCCGATTATTTTTCGTTTGTAATTCTGACTGATTTTCAGCAAACGAATCCTTTGAACTCGAAACTATTCCAACTCAAAGTTCAAAGCCTGTTTTCTGACTACAGTATTTAATTCGACTAACTAATTTATCGCAGATTGGGAATACTTGCATTTTTAACACTAGAACTACCAATGACTAATGTATAGACTGCGGATTTTATGCATTTATGGCTAAAATTGTTAGCTGAAATACAAACTGTATAGACGTAATTTGATGAAATTGTTACATTGTTTTCAACTTATATAAATGATCGAAAGAAACGATTTATTTTTACGTAATATCTGTTCCTTGAGATCGTCTCAGACAATTTTTATCTTGCAATTTTTATCAGCAGTCTGCTAATGTATATTGTTTCATAACAATGACACGATTGAATTTATTCAAACCTCGTACGATGTTTATTATAATATTGGATCGCCCGATAAGTCACTGCGTTTTTCCTCATCTTTTCCTAGATGGCAATGCAGCGATAAAACACAATGACTTATTTGCCAACCCAATACATGTTTGAACGAAGAAGTTCGTATGAAAATTCCTTATATGAACACTTTTATCGAATCTGGAATTGTAAAAGAAAAAAATCAGGGACCAGTCACTTCGACTGGATCGGCAGTTCCAGTGTTTGATGTGAACAAATTCGATGGAAAGATGGTACAGCAATTGTCAGCGGTGCCTCTCGAGTGCAAAAGGTTAACACAAAACCCACCATGACGGTCATCCGACCGGTTGCACATTTTTTGTTTTAAGATCATTGATGTTATGTAGGAATTAAATTAGGAATCAAATAAAATAGAAAACGATTGAACAGATTTCCTAATTGGTGCCCACATTGTCATAAAATCGATTAACCGCTTAAATGAATACAATTTCCGTTATTCTTAAAAAAGTGCTCGGTAGGTTTGTCGTTGAACTATCCGTTNGAGGGAGAGAGAGAGAGAGAGAGAGAGAGAGAGAGAGCGAAAGAGAGAATAAGCGGTTAGATTGAAAGCGGAAAATAAATTGTCGTGCAGCGAAATAAAACCACGATTCGGTGCTTGATGGATCAGGAACGAGAAACGCGGCGATGCCGCGGGATTGAGCGACGGGGATTAATTGAAATGAGCCGAGGCGGTCGTAATAACAGTTCCAGCGACGCGGTATCTCGATCGGAAAACNGGAGAGAGAGAGAGAGAGAGAGAGAGAGAGAGAGCGAAAGAGAGAATAAGCGGTTAGATTGAAAGCGGAAAATAAATTGTCGTGCAGCGAAATAAAACCACGATTCGGTGCTTGATGGATCAGGAACGAGAAACGCGGCGATGCCGCGGGATTGAGCGACGGGGATTAATTGAAATGAGCCGAGGCGGTCGTAATAACAGTTCCAGCGACGCGGTATCTCGATCGGAAAACGATTTCGCGAGCATCTCGCGATCTAGGTCTCTATCAAATTACAAATTCCAGAAGAAACGAACTCGACGCTTCTTTGCCGATTATTTTTCGTTTGTAATTCTGACTGATTTTCAGCAAACGAATCCTTTGAACTCGAAACTATTCCAACTCAAAGTTCAAAGCCTGTTTTCTGACTACAGTATTTAATTCGACTAACTAATTTATCGCAGATTGGGAATACTTGCATTTTTAACACTAGAACTACCAATGACTAATGTATAGACTGCGGATTTTATGCATTTATGGCTAAAATTGTTAGCTGAAATACAAACTGTATAGACGTAATTTGATGAAATTGTTACATTGTTTTCAACTTATATAAATGATCGAAAGAAACGATTTATTTTTACGTAATATCTGTTCCTTGAGATCGTCTCAGACAATTTTTATCTTGCAATTTTTATCAGCAGTCTGCTAATGTATATTGTTTCATAACAATGACACGATTGAATTTATTCAAACCTCGTACGATGTTTATTATAATATTGGATCGCCCGATAAGTCACTGCGTTTTTCCTCATCTTTTCCTAGATGGCAATGCAGCGATAAAACACAATGACTTATTTGCCAACCCAATACATGTTTGAACGAAGAAGTTCGTATGAAAATTCCTTATATGAACACTTTTATCGAATCTGGAATTGTAAAAGAAAAAAATCAGGGACCAGTCACTTCGACTGGATCGGCAGTTCCAGTGTTTGATGTGAACAAATTCGATGGAAAGATGGTACAGCAATTGTCAGCGGTGCCTCTCGAGTGCAAAAGGTTAACACAAAACCCACCATGACGGTCATCCGACCGGTTGCACATTTTTTGTTTTAAGATCATTGATGTTATGTAGGAATTAAATTAGGAATCAAATAAAATAGAAAACGATTGAACAGATTTCCTAATTGGTGCCCACATTGTCATAAAATCGATTAACCGCTTAAATGAATACAATTTCCGTTATTCTTAAAAAAGTGCTCGGTAGGTTTGTCGTTGAACTATCCGTTGGATCTTCTAAAAACAATTACCAACCTGGACCATGGTGACGAAGTACACGTCGCTCCTAGCCAGCATCTCCTCGATGAACTTGATCAGCTCCTCTCTGTACTCCTTCTTGCTCTTCAGCCAGGAAGCATGGAAGTGAAGTCCAAGGGGCGCACGGTTGCTGTTGAAGTGCCTGTTGAAGTTGTGCCTGAGGAGCCTGGCGAACTGTTCGCCGGTCTGAATGTTGGAGCAAGAGTCGACCATGTGGCAACCGGGCAGCGACTCGTCGAAGGTCGGGTCGTCTCTCCTGTCCAGCTCGTTCATCACCATCTCCCAGACCGGGTGCGACCTCGACGGACAGTTGCCGCCGTTTCCGTTGCACTTGTGCGGCATCCTGAAGTACAGAGTGTAAGGCCAGATGGGGACGCGGCCCAAGGACGCGGTGATGGAAGCGTCGTAGACGAAGAATTGATCGGCCATCATCTCGAACTGCTTGTTGCCGCCCACGCGAAGGTAGGGAGCTCTCATCCCGATGATGGAGCCGTCGGTTATGTTCGCGAAACGCTCGATGATCAGCCTGGCGCCCGCCATCTCCGCCAGCCAGTCGTCGTAGGTGCCCTGGGTCCAGTATTGCGGATCGTCCTTGTGCGTCAAAGAGAACACCGCGATCTCGTGACCTCTACGGTGCAGATCTTGAACCGCCGAGTAGTTGGTGTATTTGTGCGAGACGAAGAAGGTGCCTCTGATCTGGCAGCCGTTCGGGTTCTGTCGTTGACCGTTGAAGACCTCCTCGTACAGATCGATGTTGTCCACGTTCACCGCACCGTTGAACGTGATCGTGATCATCTGCGGTACTTGCGACGGCTCGATGTTCCCGGGGATTCGAGTGCCGTCAGCGGAACAGTAGCAATCCGGGAGGACGCACTGAGTCGGGTCGCAGTCTGGCGCGCGGTTAGGATCGGTCTCCACCGCTATAATATCAGATCCTTTTGGTTAGCAGGCTAGTAGTTTTGGTTGTGCTCCGAACTTTTAAGATTGCCGATCTGCCAATCTTCTGGGACTTCGCGATTTTTAGGTTTGTGAGCATGCCGATCTGCTGGGACTTTGAGATTTTTGGGACTGTGAATTGTGACGAGTGTTTAAGTGTTTCGGTCGCAGGAAGATTGGACCTTTGAATCCTTGGATAAAAAAGGTATTTGAATTAATGAGTCCTTCGATTACGAGGTATTTGAATTGATGGGTCCTTGGATCACAAGGTATTTGAATTGATGAGTCCTTGGATCACAAGATTTTTGAATGAATGAGTCCTTGGATCACAAGATTTTTGAATGAATGAGTCCATGGCTCACAAGGACTTTGAATTAAAAAACACTTTGATCGCAAGGTCTTTGAATTAAACAGTCCTTTGATCACAAGATCTTCGAATTATCGAGTTCTTGGATTACAAGATCTTTGAATGAATGAGTCCATAGATCACATGCTCTTTGAATTAAAGAGTCCTTCGATTACAAGGTATTTGAATTGACGAGTCCTTGGATCAAATGGTCTTCGAATTGATGAGTACTTGGATCACAAGATTTTTGAATGAATGAGTCCTTGGATCACAAGATTTTTGAATGAATGAGTCCATGGATCACAAGGTCTTTGAATTAAAGAACCCTTTGATCACAAGGTCTTTGAATTAAAGAGCCCTTTGATCACAAGATCTTAGAATTATCGAGTTCTTGGATTACAAGATCTTTGAATGAATGAGTCCATAGATCACATGCTCTTTGAATTAAAGAGTCCTTCGATTACAAGGTATATATGAATTGACGAGTCCTTGGATCACAAGCCCTTTGAATTAATGAGTTCTTGAATCACAAAAGTCTTTGAATTAATGCGTCCTTGGATCACAAGGTTTTTGAAGTAAACAGCCCTTTGATCACAAGATCTTTGAATTAACGAGTCCTTGGATCACGAGATCTTCGAATGAATGAGTCCATGGATCACATGGTCTTTGAATTAAAGAGTCCTTTGATCGCAAGATCTTTGAATTAAAGAGCCATTTGATCACAAGGTTTTTGAATTAACGAGTCCTTGGATCACAAGCCCTTTGAATTAATGAGTTCTTGAATCACAAAGTCTCTGAATTTATGCGTCCTTGGATTACAAGGTCTTTGAAGTAAACAGCCCTTTAATCACAAGATCTTTGAATTAACGAGTCCTTGGATCACGAGATCTTCGAATGAATGAGTCCATGGATCACATGGTCTTTGAATTAAAGAGTCCTTTGATCGCAAGATCTTTGAATTAAAGAGCCATTTGATCACAAGGTTTTTGAATTAACGAGTCCTTGGATCACAAGCCCTTTGAATTAATGAGTTCTTGAATCACAAAGTCTCTGAATTTATGCGTCCTTGGATTACAAGGTCTTTGAAGTAAACAG